CCAGTAAGCGAAAAACTTGCTCAAAAATCTCCCCCACTTGATCATGATAGGCGCTCTAATCACACCCACACTATTATGCCCAAACTTTTGTGTATATGCCAAACGGAATATGAATTTACTTGTGCCTTAACAAAATTAAAGTGCAATACCGCTTTGTAGTCCTGATGAGGTTGCATCAAACCCGTTGAAGCTGGTCAATACAGCTGTCTACTGTCTTTGTTTAAAGAAAACGCTAACCGTAACGTTGTTTTCACCATGTGGATTATACCGACAGAAAGAACACAATAGTCTTACAAACCCAACTACTTTCTTTTTAAAACAACATGAAGATATTCTTACTAAGGATCGACACCTAAAGGCAATACAGTAATTATCCGTAATAAACTTTCTTAAGCTCACGAGAAACTGACTCAACTCACCACTGACACATCTTTAGTTTTCCTTTGAAATAGAAATGTAATGATCCAACTCATGATTCTTTTCTTTGGACCATTTTCTGCCTTTTTTTTCTTGTTTCATTCAATATAGCCTCTTTGTCCGCCATTGGGTCCGGTGATTTATACCATTCTGCTTTGGAAGACAAACGTTATCATTTCAAACTGGGTTCCCTTTGACTATTTCATTTTCTCTAATTGCAATTAACTGTTAAGGTAAGTTTGATGTATGTTTTCGCATTATTTTCTACCTTACGCTATTTGTTAAGTTGCATGGGTACAAAATAAACTTGATGCAATAACTGATTATGCTGCATTGAAATTAAATTGTCACTGTATCAATTATAAATTGTACAGTAAATACTGCATCACAAGTAATTTAAATGTTTTTCAGTCTTTCACTTTCATTGAATGTTGTCAAATAATACTCTCTACTTTTATTTCTAATATTATACTGGAAAGTGCAAGCCACAGAGTCATTTGAAATCCACAGCAAAAACTTAGCATTGCTAGATGTATTAGCAGAGATTAACTCCTGCAGAAACAATTTGGTATCAAATGAGTTAAAAGACATGCATGGTTTTACTTTTTTTAAAGTTTGCTTTGAAATGTATATCTGCATCATAGATTTGAAATCTATTTGGAAAATCTGTCATGGCAAGATGTTCACAATTTTCCAATGATTTTTTAAATGTGCATTACATGGTAACACATTGCATCCAGTGTCGCTTGTGTCCAATAGCCACAGGAATTGATTACTGAAAATCAAACACTATAAAATGATATTGCACAATAGCATTTTAAAAGCTGAAAAGCGCTTTCCACATCATCATTAAAATCAAAATTATTCTTGTTCTGTTTATTGGAATGATTGCTAAAAGAATGTGGGAAATGTTTTTGAATTTGGGCTATTGCGGGAGCTTCAATTCGTGATTCAATAATGTATACACCGTTAACTTCAAACGAAATACTAGAGGAAGCTGCGTAGAGAATTTGAAAATACCCTGTTCAATTTACTCAAAATCTGTACTTCCAGAAGAGCACAACTTCCTTGAGAATGGGGCATAACAATTGGATCTTTGGCATGACTATCAACTATTTTAAA